TTATAGAATATAAGATATTAAAAATTCTGCCACTGGCATCAAATCAATTGTTGCAGTCTCTCTCCTGTTGGTGCCCAAGGACCGTCATCAAGCCGAAAGTATGTTCTTGGAAAATTGAGTTTGTAGACCTTCCCGAAAATATATCATTAAAAAAGAAACTAGTTCAAACACTTTTTTGCCAGAATAAACACTGTAGAGATTTATTAGCCTTTGCCGCACTGCAAATCTTGAAGGTTGTGGTCAGCACTTGATACTAAGCCAAAAGTATGTTAACCTTTTGTTTGTTGGCCATCTATCTGAGGTCTGCAGGTTTCAAGCAGATATGATCACTATGGGTGTCTTTGAAACTTTTACTATTTATCATATCTTTCTTGAATTCCATTTAAATTTTCCTTTCTTTCTGGGAAGAAATAGCCTATAAATCCAACCAGACTGAAGTTCACTGATTCATAACATAAGCAAATATACTTAAAGATTGAATTTCATATTACATATCACAAGAAATGAGATATAACCTAACACTTTCTGAGGAAAATAATCAGAATTGTTTCCTTCATAAGGGCAATTAATTTTCAATAACATGTGGTTCAATGGCAGTGAAACCTGATTAACTTTTCTGTGATTTCACAATATTTCTTGTTTCAGAAAAATCTATTAGCAATTGTTCACATCTACCTATTCTATGCTTAAGAAGTATTTGCAATTATACTGAGCTGTGAGACAAAATATTTTGAGTATAATAACTTGACTAATTACTCATATCTTCATTCAAAGAGACTTGGATATCAATGTATTTTGATTTCTGCCTTTTTTTGTTTACAAAACAATGATACATCCCCTTGAAAATGGCCAGGATATAGTTTTACCCCATGCAAATACTAAATATTACCTTAATTACTGGTAATTGCAAATTTATTAATTTTCCTTTCAATGCAAAAATACTATCTAGCTACCACAGCTGGCCGTAACTGGTAGACGTGTTTGTGAATAGCTCTCCAGCTCTCCCGCCTGCTTTTCATGTTTCTACATATAATTCCCCCTAAAGCTTTATTAAAAACCCACCAATTATATCCAACATTGGTTATTCCAGGGTGAGAAACCATCTGTCACTGCAACAGACTACTTAGTGCGGATATGGCAATGCCTCCATTGCTTTATGAACATTGCCAAACTGGTTCACAACCCTTGACATTTTCCCACAAGCGAATGCAACAATTTCCTCTGTTTTCGTTCACTTTTCTGTTCTCTCACATGTTTCACATGCGCCATGTACAGGTTAGGAGATTTTACTAATCAGTCAAACAAGCATTTGCACATAAATGTTGCGTAATGATACCATTCACTTGGTAAATCGGGGCGCATTCCAGTCCAAAAGCGGCCAGGTGAGAATCACCTGGGCTGCACCTTTTATCTAAAACCCTATGTAAACAAACCGCCCAGACCATCACGTGACTTAAAATCACATATTTCCACATTTAACACTAATCAACCAACCTCGGCACACCTAACACCACATATTAAAGGTGCAAATAGCAAAAGTGTCACCAAACGATGGCCCGCAAGGACAGCGCAATCCAACAAGGTAGTGGAACTGAGTCGTCAAGTCCACAATTACGGCGAACGACTATGTTCGTTTGTTCGCTCATACCAGATTTTCCTGTTTCTTTTCCGCTAACAGTAGGTTTCCCACGATGCCTTTTAAAAATGCTACACTTGGGGCCTACGAGCTCCAACAGTGTCCGCGAGTGATGGGGCTATAGTGAACATGTCAATGAAATGGTTTAATTATGCAAGCATGACTCAATGATCGGGACGCGGGCTGTCGTTAACCACCCTTAGCGTCGGCAGCGCACGCGGATTGGCCGTAACAACTCCCGTCCGAGTGTGCGCACTCCGGCTTCAACTAAATGCATCTGCGCCAAATTATCCCATTCTGGCGCTCATGCAACCAGCAGTTCAGAGGGAACGGGTCAGGAAATCATGGGAGGCGAAGGAAAGGGCAGTGTTTCGTTCAATGCTGGTTCGTTAACTTTATTTACCGGGTTGGGTGTAGTTTCTTACGAGGCATGGTAGACATTACAGATATCGACGAGACGTGGTTGGTGGTTATGAATAGACTTGGACGTTCCCAGGGTAACAGCAAGGCAACGATCCCAACATCATACTGCTATAAATTACTTATACTGTGGGTGCGCAAAAGATACGACATCTTAAAGACGAACACTGGCTGCTTTTATTGAATGAGATGACCTTGCACTTTCTGCTTCGGTTTCTTGGGATAACCTCAGCCGCTGGAATTTGCTCAGATATAATTATCAGGTCTTGAGAAGCGAACAGCAGTCGTGTAAAATGCTGGCACCACAGGTTATTTACCCACGTCAGGATGCTCGGCCCAGAAATCAATATGACTCGCGTTATGACTTTTATCCCGTGTTGCAAACACAATGAAAACGGGTTTAATGTGTGTTTAATGATACGCAACTTCGTATTATTGGAAAGCGTATTGTTTTTGTTTCCATCCGTTTATTTTACTTAACAGGGGTATATTGTTGTAACAAATGAATAAATTCATAGTGCGGTACCTGAGGTATCACCAGCGCGAGAACAAAAGTAATGTTTCTAAATTCATTGGTGTGAAAGCTAATGGCCAAGAGAGACTGCTTCTGAGAGATCTTCAAAATACTTCCTTTTATTCCACCGCATTCTTTCTTTGGTGTATATTACACATATCAAACACTAGTTTATGCTAAATACTCGTTTACTTTTAATCTTGTCTTATCGCCCTAAGATCCTGAACACGTCCACCGCTTATAAATCCCAACGCCCCTGAGGAAGAATGGGCTGAGACAAAAGGCTAAACTGCAACTGCGCGTCCCAGGTGAAATTTCTTTGTGTTGAATATGGTCACAGGCAGGGATGCATTTATACGCATAGATCAGATCATCGATGTACACTCATTTGCTCTAATAAACAGCACATAATAATTCTTGGCTGATTTTCAGTGTTAACTCAGGATGGAAAGCGAGGCCGCAATTGGTGAAAGGTTTAGAGGCATGGAACAGCAACTTTTCGCCATAACAGTTGCATAGGAAATCACATGATATAACGGTACTAATCACCAGATTTAAAAAAGAATCATCACCCCATTCGTTGATTTTGTAACAATACAATATCGGTATTCATTAGCTTTGTAATTGAGACACTCTGATTGACTACATTAATATGAGAATAGCACCGTATGCAAAAAAAAAAAAAAAAAAAAAAAAAATCCTGCATATTACATAATTAGACAAATAATATACATGTAGTTTTATATATACAATTTTGGACAAAGTGTTTACAGAAAAACAAGCTTAGCATTATAGTAATCATTTATGTAAAAACTAATGGTTTTCCTGTTTAATATTACGAAATTATATAGCTTTACATACAGACAACTACAAGAGGAAATAATATTAGCATAGCCGCCTTCAGTTCATATCACTGAATACTAAAGGTCTATAGATGGGAATATTAAAATAATTCACTTTTACTTTTGATATGCATATTTGATTATCTGTAGTACGTTATATTTATAGGAAATAATGTATATCCAAATATTGTGAAGAATCTTACGCATGCTATATTGATAGCGCTCAGAAAGAAGTTGGAAGTTCGTAGGTCTACATGATAAAAATCCTTTTACTTATCACTTTTATATACTTCAAAGTACGGAAAGTTGAGTGTAAACAAAGGTCCGCCTACCCCATGCCTTTGCGGTTCTACACCCCCTCAACACACATAGTTGTAACCACCCTTGACAATGGTTGCTTCTAGGAAACTTTTGGGTCTTTCCGGTGTGATGACCGCTTAACTGTTTTGACCTTTAAGGCATCCTTCTTTCCACTCTTCACAACAACGACTAAAAGATTCATATCGGACTTGGCGCCTCTCGATAGCGCTGTGGAAAGGCCTGTTGTTATCTCAGGGAATTTCCTCTGAAGGAATTTTCCGGCACAGACCATGTAAGTTTTCCTTATACCCATATATGCCAATGTTGCTCAGATGTTAGTCATTAACTAATCTCCTCTTGTAACCGATGATTATTCCTGGCAGTGGATTTATATATATATATAAATTCCACTCCCTAAGAAGTTGGTCTGTTTCCATATCCCTGTATCAAATCTGCAACCGAATGATTAAACTTTCCTCCTGAATTTAAAGGAATTTTAGTTTTTTTTTTTTTTTTTTTTTTTGGGGGGGGGTAAGGATTTTGTAGAAGTAATATTCATGCATAGCCTTATCAAAAAAGTTTTTATTTTCTCCTAGATCGCACCTCCACTGCCCCAAGTTTAAGAACCATTGTGTGATATCAAGAGGACAGTGTACTTAGCAGATAAATGGTTGCGTCGCTTTATTGTGCTTTAGACTTGAGATGTTCAGTCCAAAAATCTGGATTCAACCGACGGAGAACGCGGGATGCTTTACCTTTCTGTACGGAAGGTCACAGCCCAAATGCCAACGCGCCAACTACTCTGACAGTTAACACTCGATGGTAACTGGGAAAACCTTGCTATACTTTTGTTTAATATAACTGAAATCGTGCTCTATTTCTCTCTTTCGATTGTACTCATGGCTCATTTTAAATTCTCTATAAGTCTTCAACTTAATTTTTCTGTATATATCATCATGTATTTTATATCTCTGACTTTCCATCCCTTTATCCCACTCGCATCTTATGATGTATCCCTATGCTCTAGCCTCTAATAATCTAACTACACACATTTATCTATATCTGCCAAGATCTCTACCTCTACATCGTTATAGCATTATTGTTTCTTTGCCATTTTACATAATAAGAACACTTAATAAGAGATTAATTGCTTGAATTAAAACTTGACCTTTGTCTTCTCTTGTGACTGACAAAGTCGTTATTGGATCGCCATCAGAGGGTGTATATTCCTAACATATCAATTTAAAGTTGGAGTTTTGGCCATTTTGAATTTGCCTTTGCATATGTCGCAGTATATGTATATTATAATATAATATATATATATATATATATATATATATATATATAGAGAGAGAGAGAGAGAGAGAGAGATACACATGTAAATATATATATATATATATAATATATATAATATATATTATATATATATATATATATATATGTATGTATGTATGTATGTATGTATGTATAAATGAATAAATGATACACACATATACATATGGGACTAAACCCCCGGAAACTCAACATGTAGGTGCAGTGGCCTATAACCCACAGCCCCCTTTTCCTTGGAGTAACACAGGGAAGTCATAAATGGAAGTATTAGAGAAGGATAGTTTGGTGTCAGACAGTTCAAAGTTGCATGATAGCATGAAGGAGAGAGCTCTTCCCATGAGACTACGTGGGCTGTTATGATGTGTCCTTAGCGAACTGCCAAGGAATACCGCCTTTGGATCAGGCTCGGGAGCTTAGCTAACCTAAACAGCTCAGTTTTTAACTTTTTCCTTTTCTTTACATGGAACGCTCTTTGCCATAGCACAAACATCAGAATGAAGAGATAATTGATGGAAATTTACACAGCATGGCAAATGTTTTAGTTAATTATATCCTATATTAAATTACCTGGGCATAGTGAAAGAGCACCAACAATAAAATGCACACTCAACGCCACTAAGCTGTCTAGCTCCTTAAGAAGAGAATTATGCACTTGTGTGTGGAATCCTCCCTAAGCAACAATATTATATGAGGGAGCTATTTACCATGTACCTATATTTTGTAATCTTTACAACGGCTAATGGTTTGCCCAATTATCAGTGAGTATACTGTTAAGCGGAAAGGTTAGAGTCCTTGCTATGAGTGGAAATAGTTTTAAAACCTCATCAACGTGTCCAAGATAATTCTGGGAAGTTGTCTAGCTGTAACTCCCGGCCATTTGGGGCCTCCAACTGGGCTCACCCTTCGAAGTCTGAGACGGCAGCTGACATGAGTGGGTGGATGGATATTTAATGTGATTTCCCTCGACATTCACCAGGTACCACTTATGGTCTTTTCCTTCGATATATTTCAGATGCCCAGCAAGATGACGGGGATCACCTGAACCCTGGCCTTTAGTCTCTCTGCTGCTAGGCCTGTGTTGATCTCACTATTCAGTCGTTTAACCATGTCATTTGAGGTTTATTGAGTTGTGGTCCTGGATCTGCTAGTTCCTGAAATATTGGACATCTAGTGCCTGTCTACAGATTTACTGGGTCTATTAGTCGGTTATGAACTCCTCTGGTACTTTGAAGCGGCTGGCCAATGTCGATGTAAAAACGGGAATCATTTAGCTGCCTTGCTGATAAGATTAAGTTATAAGCGAGTCCTTCAAAGGAGTTAGGTCAGAATGTAACCTATGCTTGCCTTTATTATCCAACACCGAGGGCATTGCACTGATCCACATCAGTCTAACCTAGGGAAGGTCTCCCTGCGGTGCGATGGTACGTGAAATAAAGATGTTATTGGGCAAACAGTGGAAAACCGTCTATAACTTGCCTTGCCATTTTCCGGGAATTCAGATGGTGAATCATATGTGCATGTGTAATATGAGCCCTGAAGCAGCAGTAGAAAGAGTAATAGGTTCTAGCTGCCCTGATTCTAAAGGGATGAGAATCGGGAAGTGTGAGATCCATAACACTGAACTTCAACAAAGCAACCATCAATACCAGAACAGCCTGAACTATCCAGAAGGTTTTCTCAAAATTTTATGAAGACTTCAGCAGCTATTTGAGGCTGCAGTTCCACTAAATCATTGGCTCGGCTAGCAATTTTACCTAAAGACATCAGGCTGTTTGCATGAGTGTGTGCTGGATACAGTTCAGTTCATCCAGGTACATTATCGGTTACCTCTGCTCACTAATACATTGGCTTCCTTGCTGGTGTACCAAGGGCTTCATGGGCATTGGAGGCTGGATCAGCTGGTCCAATCTTTGCTTGGCCGTAGATGCTGCTTAGAAAAGAACTACCTCTTTAAAAAATTCAAATATAGGAAGTTATGGTTCTTTCCCTGTGTGTCACTTTCACTTTCGCTCCCCTTGTATATAGCCTCCATAATTTGAGTCGTATCTACACGGGATCTACCAGGCTCAGTGCCTTCCTTACTCTAGCTCTGAGGAAAGGATTATGGGGTAGACGGTTTAATAATATATATGTTGTCTCACTCAAAATAAATTTTTAAATCTAAACTCCACAATCTAGAAAGAATGGAGCTGTCACCAGAAATGAGAACAGTAATGGTTAATTAAATTGTGAAATTACCACAAATGACACAAACGTCACATGAGCATGACAGTTTAAAAAATAACATCCAGTATGAAGAAATGCGTCATTTTTTCCGATAGGAGATGGAAATACGTGGCATCTGCTTTAAGAATAGAGAAATCCGATCATAAAAGTAGTAATCAATACTGAACCTTTAATGAGAGTCAAACATTTGAGAGATAAAGACAAATGTCTAAAAAATGTAAGATATATTG